TCTTGTTTCACTTAATGTGGCATCCTAGAAATAACTCCCAGCTTTGTTAATATATATATGTTAGGCTATGTATATGTATGCATATACATATATATATATGCATTATATATATATGTTAGGCTATGTATATGTATGCATCTATGTGTGTGTATATATATATGTATATATGTATACATACATATATATGTTAGAAAAAATATATTTGCTTTTTTGAAACAGGGTGTCACTATGTAGCTCTGGCTGTCCTGGAAATCACTATGTAGACCAGGCTGGCCTCAAATTAATTCTTCCTGCCTTTGCGTCCCAAGTGCTGGGATTAAAGGCATGCATTACCATGTCTGGCTTTCTAACTAAAATATTGGCAGAAATCAATGAGCTTCCAAGCCTCAAGTATTGTTTTTCATTTTGGACCCATAAACCTCTGCACTCAGCCTGTTTGGTCCTGAAGCTTTGTGAATGACTTCCAAAAAACATTACCATGAAGAATGTATTTTGCAAATGAGCTCAATGGTTTGCAGTAAGAAAAATACAAGGCACCCTTATCTTAGCTCTCCAGAAGTTTGTAATGCAGGTGTGTGTGTGTGTGTGTGTGTGTGTGTGTGTGTGTGTGTGTGTGTGTTGGTTGGGGATTGAATTTAGGTACTTGTGCTTGCAAATCAAGCACTTCAATGACTGAGCCATCGATCTTTCTCCAGACCCCCACCCTCTTTTGAGACAGTACCTTGCTATGTAGCACAAGTTGACTATGAACTCGTTATGTAGCTCAGACTAGTCTTAACTCTGTGATCCTTCTGCCTTAAGTCTCCCAAGTACTGGGAATACATGCATGAGCTGCCATACCCAACCCAGGTTGACCAGTTATTGGTGAGACTCTCCACACATGGCTGTAAAACTTCTCAGTGTTTCTCCCTCTACTGGGTCTGAGAGCAGTGCATGCCCACCTACTCTGCCAGATTTGAGAAGTTTAGAGGTAGGGTGGACATTTGTGGTCACTTGGCCACCCCATCACAAATAATGCTATTCTCAATAAAATTCTGATTCTGTCATAAATGCATCTCCCTCCAGCTCTAGTCCTTGTAATCCAGGAGAATGTGTCCTATCCTCAGATTCAGAGGGTATCTAATAACTCAGGGATGTGACCCACTCAGTGACTGGTCCAGGAATGAGTCCTGAAGTTGGACTTAATGTTGTTTAGCCCATGAGAAGGCAACCACCCTCTCTTATTCTTTCTTACTAGACTGAGGCTCAGAGGGTGCATGTGTCATGTTGCCATGTGGATCCTGTGTGCAGTCCAGCAGGAAAAATACAAAATGTCTCTTTAGTAATGGTGTATTTGATATTTAGAATGCCATGTACAGCCAGTTTCTATGTTCCTGGTTAGCATCTGAGGTCCCCACATCAGAAATCTATTTTCAGTAAAAATGGGTGAGCTGAGTATGAGTGGGGGCTGCAGTCCATGTTCTCCTTGAGTGCCACTCCTTGGAACCAACACTCTTAGGGCCAGGTTGACCCTTTTTTGGCCCATGTGCCTTTCCCCAGGGAAGAACATGGCGCGCACACAATGCTCGTTGGAGAGCCAAAGAAGGAATGGACTCTTGAATTTACAGTAGGTCCTCTGATGCTGTGTGCTTTTAGCTAGTGATGCTGTCTGCACACCTGTCACATTTTGGTCTGAAACTCACTTCCAGAGTTTTACTCCCAGGCAGTGAGGTAAGGGAGGGGCATAGGTCCTCATGTTCTTTTCCTTTAAGTGCCTGTGTCCCACACTTGTGGAATGAATAGTTATTCTGTTCTGTCAACAGGTTCTGTTGATGCTGGGGCAAGAGTTCAGCTGTATCCCCCTGACTCTCTCCATTAGGGAATAATGCATTCTGTTCTAAATTAAGCCACTTTTTAACATCCATGGGAGGCCTAATTGTCAGTTCCTCCTTAACACAGTGACACAGGCTAAGCCCATGACAATATAGGAAATAATGGCACTGTGACCTTTAGTTTCTGTCATTCCTGTAAAAACAGAATCACGACAGCTTTTGAGTAGTGTAATTCACTCCACTTTATTCTGGATGCATATTACAGGTAACCACTTGAAAACATTCCAGTGGACACTGAAAGCTAAGGCCATTCTGTGAGTTATTTTATAACACTTGGTGTTCTCCACATAATGATCTTTTAAAAATGAGTTACCAAGACTCTGAAATAAAAATGTAAGGTAGATACAAGACACCTTTAGAGCCATATCTAGACTGAAGTTCATCGAGTGGCCAAGCCATTTTGTCCTCTATAGCCACTAGCTTAGCGCCCAGGTCTCTTCTCCAAGTTGCAACATAGTGTTTTGTTTCTGTCAATTAGTAACCAGTGTTTAGACACCATTTTTCCTCCGAGTGAGTGACAAGGAGAGACTTTATCTAAGAACATGTTATAGAACTCTTGAACAGGAAAAAGAAAGGGACCCGTAACTAAGGCACTGAAAGCACATTATTTTATATAAAGAAATGTAAACAATTTTAACACCAACGGGATCCCTCCATTAGTCTTTATTGTGACTGTACCAGAGCATCTCGGTTGGGCCAGAGCTTGAGAGCTGGTGAAATGGGAATCTGTCTGTCTTCAGAACTCAGGCTTGGCTACCAATATATGGTCTGTATGTGGAGTGGCCACCGTTAGAGTACGTGAGTGGAAGACGCTTTCCCATGTATGTTCTGAAGCAAACAGAGGCAGGACTTTACTGACTCTTAAAGTGAGTTCTTTCAGGTAAGTATTCATTTCCTTTCATTCAGCCTTCCCTCATGTTGCTTGATTAAAGCTCAGGGTTCCTCAAGCTTATTTCAAATACACCTAGTGTGAGAACTTGTTACCTAGCCAGTTCCCCTCTTTATTGGTTCATATTTTAAAGTGAAATGGTTTACATTATAAATAACCCACGACTACCCTACTTAAAATCTCTCAGAATGGGGTCAACTAGCCAACTAGTGCTGTGAGCATTTTGGTCCCTTAGGCTCACCATCAGGGCTGCCAGCTGCTAGGAGTTCTGGCTGAAGGGTGGGAGGGGAGGCAGGGGCATTCCTAAGGCTGACAAACAACCGATGATTGATTTAAAGCAGCTCTAAGCACTATGTCATTACACACGCACGCACGCACGCACACACATAAATTTAAGTTAAATAAAAGGTTTTAACATGGCTTAATAGGTGGGTAAGGACAAATAATTATAATTTAAAACTTTTATTTAAAACAATTTTCTTTTCTTTTGGAGAAATTTACAGCAATTTCTCTAGTTTTAGTGCTATACTTAGAATTATGAGTTTGGGGTAGATAAAATACGATTAAGGTATTTTCTACCTTAAGCATGTTTTCTAGGATCAAAAGAGGAAGGAGATGTTTCTGTTTAAGGGGGAAGGAGTTTGAGAAAACACAATGGATGGACATCGATGCTGGCTGCTTCCAGGGAACAAATGTAATTTTGATTGCTGGCTATTTCTATATTTAAATGTGATCCATGGAAGTCGCAGAAAAAACAAACAAACAAAAACTTGAAATTAGAAGCCTTTCTCATTAAGGGGGAAAAAAAAGTTGGTTTGTGTGTGTGTGTGTGTGTGTGTGTGTGTGTGTGTGTGAGTGAGAGAGAGAGAGAGAGAGAGAGAGAGAGAGAGAGAGAGATTTTAACCTTAAAAAACTATAAAGTCAAATAGCTATGTTGAGAGCAGATGTGCACAGTAACTAATTAGTAAGCTCCTGGGAGGATTAAAATGAGTTTCAACAGAGCATCCATACAGGCTGGTGTGTTTCACTAGAGGTACCACTTAACACTCCCATGATTTAGTACACAAACTTCAAAAAACTGAATTAAACAAGATACACTAATGGTATCTTTCTCAGAGAATGTGCTGGTAAGCTGAGCAGGAAAATGAATTCCCGTTGGGGTACACAGGGCAGTGATAGCTCTTGAGACTGCCCAGCAGGGGAAGGGTGGCAGGTTTGCTAACAGCTAAACAATATCATGTGCCTCTGTCCCCAGCCCTGCACCAATCACATGACAAAGACAGGACTATGCAATCAGTGGAGACAATGGCACATGATTCTCTTACCCAGGGCACTGATGCTATTTGTCTGCTGGGCTTCATGGCTTTCAGATGATAGGACTATTTGGCAAACAGTTGGTCAGTACAAATGTTACTATTGAGAGAGAATTAGAGAGTCCTTGCTCTCATGGAAAGGGTTCAGTCTGGGTTAGCATTTTTGGTTTTAAGAGTAAAGTTGGTCATGGCTTGGGGGCTTTGGATATACCATTCTGTCTGTGGCCATTTTTGTTATAGCTCCAATGGCAAAAGGTAGACATGCACAGGGCACATACCTGCTTTCCAGTGTGTGTAAGTTCTAAAGAAATATTTCACAAGGCAGTTTCTGTCTGAAATGCCAGAATGTTCTTGTAATACATCTTTACATGTATCAGTTTACACTAAAGATGAAGTTATACCTCCTAAGAAGCAGGAAGAGATCAGGACTGAGTGTAAGTGAAGAGCAAGAGGAACCAGTTTCTGTCCCTTAGAACCCAAATGGAGAGCTCGAGTGCTCTCCTGATAGAGTAATGCTCCCTGAGCAGAGTTCAGTGTGAGTTCCAGGGGTGGAAAGGGGCCTCCTGTTGGCTCTTCAGCTAAGAGACTATGAGCAATGAAAGGCTGGTTCCCCATGAAATGATGATCAGTTTAAGCCAAGACAATTCTGGTTTGGGGTTTGATCCATGTAAAAGGGTAAATGGATGGTGCCTCACTGCCTGGGGGAGGGGGTGGGGGTGAGGCAAGCTATAGCCTGCCTTTGGGCTGGCAGCCTGTAGAAGTGAGCCAACCCTTTCAGAGAAGCTTGCATCTTGTCTCAACAGCTTGCTGATTGTTTCTAATATTCTGACCCAAGATATTCACAGCGATCGAACCCTGCTACATATGCAGCATTGGAATTACATTCAGAGATTTTAAAGAAACCGTAGCAATATTTTCCCCACAAAATTAAGTGCAAAATATCTTTAACAAAGAATGATGATAGTAAGAAACATTTGACAATCATGCAAAACGCATCTCAATTTATAAAGGCTCTGACATTTCCATAATGCTCCTAGGGTTTCACATGGTGAATGTAACCATCTTACTTGTTTTTCTTTGAGTTTAAATGTGAGTGCTTGTGGGAAAAACGGTAACATGCAAGTTCAATGAATTCCAGTCCACCAAATATTCTCTCCTGCAGCACAAAAAACACAATGCTGATTATGAAATACCACCAAATAGGGCTGTACCAATATACAAGCAGGCACATTGCAGAGCAGAACAGGGTCCAGTACAGTATGGACAGCAGCTTGACCACCAGGACTCTGAGCTCAGACTTGCAAGGTGGAACTGTACTCTGCCCAGTAAAGTGGAAGGTTTTCTCTCCTTGGTAGAAAGAGCGCAGCCTCTCTTCCTTTTCTTCCCACCTCTTGTGGCACCAGAGCTGAAGGTCCTCCTTGGATGTGGGAAGGGTGTCTATTGGATACCTATGGACATGGAAGTGGATCTCCCTGGGAAAGTCTCCACGGAGGAGGTGCTTCTCAGTTTGAGGAATGTTGTAAGGATATGCCACAGTGATGTCATGGACAGCATCGAGGTTCTTACCTAGGATTTGGAAAGATGCAAACATTTGCTTTAGCAACAGTCGGGTGGGTGGTAATGATGATTCACTCTGCCAGGCATAACCATGAGCATGAAGAATCAGGACAGAGTGAACCACCATGAACAAACAAGGGCTAAAAATACCAGTGTTTCTGGGTACTTAGGTCAATATTTACCAGTCATTTTTAGCTTTTTTTCCTGTTTGCTAATTACCACAAAGACCTTTAGAAAGAAATGTTCTTCATTCCCAGAAGTGGTAATTTGCATTCTAGAACTACATAGACATATACAGTGAGCTGGATCTGAGGAGGAGTAAAGGTTACAGGCTAGCCCTTTAGCCACAGGATTTGTTACACTGACACTGTCTATAAACACACCCATCTCATCTAAGGCAACAGAAATGTGTTGTCTTTACCTTAAAATGACCATGAACCTTAGAAAGAAACTTGAAGAAATAAGCAGAACAACTTTGAAACTGACCTGAAACACCATTCTGCATAGTATTTAATGGGGTTGTTTTTGAAGTCACACACCAGATAATGGTGATGAAGATATGGTCCCTGGTGTTCTTCAAAATGTTCCCAACATAATCAAGGAAACAAGCATGCACAGGATCCTAAACAACCCTATGGGGACAAAGGGGCGGGAGCTGGTTCTGTAGATGGAGTAGATTGAACACCATGGGAACCGGGCATTAAAAGCAGGCCGGGGCCCATTGTATAGGCCCTGCTGTACACTGTATGTGGCAGAGGAGAACCAGCAATGTGGAGACCAAGGGCAAACAGTGTGGCTGTTAAAACAGGCCAGGAAGGAGAGGCAGTTCCTGTATCAGGAACTATTGTGATATGGTCAACTGGAGGAGAAGGAAAGTGAACAAACGTTTTTTTTTTTTTCCTAGTTGTATAAAACAATGGATTTTGTTATGACAGTTTCATATAGGCATGTAGTATACTTTGACAATACCCATGACAAACCAGATGAGGACTTAAATTTCTTACAGAAATAGATGATGCAGGCAGGACTCATGACTGGTGACAGCAGTCAGAACAGTGGTTCCTACATGTGTAGGCATATGAGGAAATCTGGCCAACAGCAGAAATACTCTAGACCAAGGTGTAACAGCACAGCATTTTCCTTTGTTGGAGCCAAATGACATCTAAGCCGAGAATATTTGACTCTGCTGAGTTTTACCATGACAGCAATAAAGGCAAAGAAGTGAAGCCATTTCCCACCACACTCCTTCAACTGAACCTGTCACTTTTGAAAATGGTTCTTCAAGTCTTCTGTAACCGCCTTGACTTGGTTTCTTAACAGTTGACAGAAATCTTTTCCTTGGCTATGTAGTTAATGTGGTACACTAGCCAGCACCCTCTCCACACAGACCAGGCTCTGTTTCCACAGCCCCAGTGTGCTTGCTGGCTGCTGGACCTCAACTCCCCACTTTCTCCCAGCGAAGAAAGCGTGGCCACCATGTCAATTAGCCTGAGTTAGGGTCACATTTCATTTATATGCCTTCCACCCAAACCCTTCTTAGACTGACTGGCATCTCAATACTACTGATCCCTGGTCAGAGGCAGCTCTGTGTAGCTTCCTAGCTTCTCCCATCAGGGGCTCATTTGTGTGTATGATGTGTACAAGTGAGGATGTGAATGCATATGGAGGCCAGAGTAGGATGCTGGCCATCCTCCTCTATCCCTTGGCCCACCTCTTGACACAGACTCTTAGTGAACCTGAAACTTGCCATATTGGCTAGATTGGCTGGTTACTGCCCCTGCTTCCTAGGCATGGGGTTACAGGCACATAGGAACATGCCCAGTCTTTATGTAGGTGCTAGGGATTAGAACTCAGGCCCTTAGACTTACACAGAAAGGGCTCTTTTCTCATTGAACTAGCTCCTGTAGGTGGTTCTTAATACTAATATGAAATAGTCATGAACTGTCAGAAATTATCAGTGTTGTTAGTGGATGCCAGCTACCACTCTCACAGCCCATCAGGTAAAGCCATAGTCTCTCTCTAGAACAGTTGCCATCATCATGGTATCTACGGGAAAACTGCATTCACATCCCCTCTCTACCACTATCCACAGCATTGTTTGCCTAGACACCAAGGGTGCCAATCCTCTCTCTACTCAAGATAAATGTTCCAGCTGCGGTTCTACAAAGCCTCTTCCTGAATTCCTTCAATTTTAAATATGTATTTTTTCTTGATGAAATACCTGATCTCAATTTCCTTCAATATCCAGCTCTAATAAAGAGCCTTTATTTAAACACCAAGGCCCAGGGTGGGCCTGCCTGCTGAGACCCAGCTGTCACTGTATGCCCAACAAGAATCACATGTTCGTCTCTTTAGTGCCCAGGTTTTAAACAGCTTCTAGAAATGTGCATGTGACTGGTATGTGTGTGATTTATGGTCTCATCTGAAAGTATGGAAGCTAATTATGCCTTCTTTGTTAGAAAGTTCTAACAAAGTGAGTTCTGGGACCTAGTTCATAAATGTTAGCATCTACTACAACACTTCTATTTGGTTTAGTGAGACTGAGTTGGCCTTGTGATACATTGGTTTTCTAACTTGGGCCCATGAATTGTTACTCTTTAAAAGGGTGATAATCCAAAAGTCTCATAAATTGCTTGAGATTTAGAACTTTGGAAGGTGATTATTATAATTCAGCATAATTAAAACACTCCCTATCTATAGGGCAAGTACAGAGCAACAGTTCAGAATAAAAAGATAAACCAAAGGGAAGGGGGGAGGGTGGCAAGAACATCCAGAGCTTCCCAGGCAGCTTAAGGGCTTCCTTCAGTCCAGACTTGGACATGGGTAAACACATCAGCAGGAGAAAGGCCTCTGCTTACAGAGGAGTCGTACAGAAGAAAGTCAACAGTCCTGAGACTTTAACCTTTATATTAAAAGTCTCCAGACAACACAAAAGCCACAAGACACTATTTTTCTGAGTAGGAGAGTCTGATTCTATGCAGGCACAAGAGCTTACTTCTGTATCACACCTCATCTAGACCTACTGGCTTGTGCCCTTGAGCCCAAGGGAGCCAGTAAGGAACAGGGGAAGGGGCAGCGTGGTGCAGGGGCTGGCCTCACATGTAAGACAACAAAGAAAGGAAGAGTCAGAAGTTGAGATATGCTTCCATTTACCAATTTACCATTTACCAAGGTTTTATGTCCTCCTTACACCTAGCTGTCATCAATAGAAAGCATTTTAGAAGATCTCATTGCTTTTCAGATGAGTTAATTACAGACCTGGATGCCATCTACTTCCATCTGCCTGCACTAGGCTCAGAAAGTACATCTCTTCTGTTTTGGATACTGTACCTAATGGAATTATTTCATAGAGCTAGCATTCTGTTAAGGTAGCCACACTCACTGGGACCTCAACTGTTTCTTTTAGTGGAAGGGACAAAGCAGATGCTTATTCTGGCTCTGACAGATACTGAGGGGTTCTGAATACTCTAGAGAAGTTGAAAAATAGGACTGATTTTTCCATATGTAATATCCATAAGGGGAATGTCCCTCATCTCAAGTTGAAGTCATGGCCATTAAAAGAGTTCTATGTAGTGTCAAATGTTCACCAGGAATAGAGATTGCCAAATCCTAACATATTTGCATGCTTAAAAGGAAAACCTGGAAGCAGCTTTTTGAGCACTAAAATCATATCACAGGAAAAGAATGGTGCCATGCCTATGCCTACTAAAGCACATGATCCAACTGTTCAACTCGACAACAGAATAGTACAAACTCAACAGTGATCTTAGACAGAGCTAGTAAAGACTGTAAACTTCCCTTTACTTTCCCATTTTATACCATGTATAAAATACACAAAATACAACTTTATACTTCGTTTTGACACCTTGATTAAATGAAAAAAAAAAAAAATAGATCTGAACCCATAAATTTAACTACAAATAATGGCAACTATTAAAGGAACTTTTCACCTGTGGTGCATTTTACGTTAAAATAAAAAGCTGAAGGCCACTGATTTTGTTTGTTTTTGTATTTAAAAAAAAAAAAAAAAAGAGAAAAGTTATCATCTCCCAGGGACAGAAGTTGGGTTTCATAACTAAGCAACTACTTCCCTGCAGCAGCACTGACACACTGACACATGACTGTACTAATACACCATTACATGCTGGCACTAGTCAACTCACACTGAAGAACATCTTGAATGGCTGGAATCAAAGTATACAAACTAAAAATTGGCAACAAACAACACACCTTTCAGTTGTGAAGTAAGAGCATGCATAAGCCCCTTAATACTGGCATGAAGATTCAAACAGCACCATGCTACTACCAGAGAAAATTCTGTATTTTCCTACTTGGAATATTATTCACTATTTTTTTTGTTTTGTTTTGTTTTCAGCCCCAATTGAAACTTTATGGGTCAAAAGATGGAGACAACTAACCCTATACCACACTGAAGCACTGTTTTATACTTTCCATCCATGTCATTTAAGATTTCCTAAACTACTTTGTGGATGACTGTTTGAGACAACAAAAGTCCCTTGTTTCTGGATACTTACAGTATTCACACTTACATGGGCATAAGTGAATATTTTTGTATCAATGATAATGATTTTCTAGAGTATGTTGAGACATTAGATCAAAGTATGTGAATGAATGTCAACAGATTTTTGCTCCATATGAGCAACTGACTCCCAAAAATGTTTGTCTACACACTGAAAACTTATTTTGTGTAACTTTAGTAATGCTTGTAGTATATTTTAAAAATTTCTGAAACAACTAATTCTGATTTGAGTTTTTATGTCTCTGATTATATAAAATACATCTATGAGAGATATGTACATACTGTTAATACTTGGGCATGTTTTCAAAATTCAGTAATTCATCATTTTTTAAGAGTGTATGAGCTTTTTTTCTCTTAAAGAATGATTTTATTATGTATACTGTGTTCTACAAGCCAGAAGACAGAACCAGATTTCATTACAGATGGTTGTGAGCCACTATGTGGTTGCTGGGAATTGAACTCAGGACCT